AAAAAAACACATTTGTGCATTTGAATAATAAGTGCGCTTTAGTCGGGTGTGCCCAACTGGCAGATACCCTCTATACAGCTACCCTTCAAGTTGCCTTTAAAAACAACAACTTTTTCGGAAAATGCGAATCGATATGTATCGATATTCAAAAAATGTGTTCAGATATCGATAAGAAAAATGTGAAACTCGTTCATATAAATATAGATTTTTATCGATTTTAGAAAACTGAGAGATATCGAAAAGAAAAATAATCAAAATCGATCTTTATCGATTATCTGAGCAAAAGATAAGATATCGAAAAAATAATAAACTCGCTCGTATCAAATCGATTTTTATCGACTTTATAAAAGTAAGAGCATATATCGAATAGAAAAATGTTGAGCTCGTTCATATCAAAATCGATTTACATCGACACATGAAAATTAAGGAAGATGTCGAAAAGAAAGTTGACAAGATCGATTTTTATCGACTTTCATAATATTAGAACAGTTATTAAAAAGAAAAATTTTAAGCTAGTCTATCAAAATCAATTTCTATCGAAATTAGGAAAGTGAGAGCAGATATCGAAAGGAAACACAATAAGCTCAATCTTATAATAATCGATTCTTATCGATAATATACAAATGAGAGCAGATATCGAATAGAAAAATCGAAATCTCGTATAGGAGATGCTTACTTCTGCCTACCACACACAAGTGCACTAAAATAAATTTGCATAGGCTGTAAGCAGAATACCCCATTGCATTTTCTTTAAGTGTATATACACATGTGTTCATACATAGATACATATATATATATATATATATATATATATATATATGTCAATATATGTGTCTATAGTAAATTTGGAAAATATTTCACAGGCAATTTCGCATGCTGTGAGACATATTCTGAATGTCCTGTGTTCTGAGCCCTGAGCCCAGAGTCCTCCGTCCTTTGTTCCTTGTCCTTGCGTCCTGCCACACCGCCTCGCAGCGTCCTGCGTCCTGCATCCTGCGTCTTGCGGCGCTGCCAGGCAGGCGGCATTCACTTTTGCGCATACTTCGACAAACGGTAATAAAAAATTCAGTTCACGTCTCAAGCACTTATTGATACGTGAGCATAGATGACACACACACTCACACGCACGCACACACATAAATAGCGCATATATATGCATAGCCCCAGCAGTTGGCTGTGTGTGTGTGTGTGTGTGTAAGCCAAGCTGAAAGCCCGCAAATGTTGTGAGAAACAACGCAAGAGCGACGCGCGTTCTGTCATCAGCCCAAGGGGACAATGCAGGACACATTCAGTTAGTATAGCAAACGATGGGAATGGATGACACGGCGGGAGAAGCGCAGAGTAGGGGGCGGGGCGGAGCGGGACAGGCTGGACATGGAGAACGTCAGAGTCTATGCCAATTACTGACCATGAAAAATGACCAAATGCCGCATAAAAAATGGCCAGCAAATTGTTTGCACAAAGTTTCACGCATCAATTTGGTTAAACAGGTTTGCTTTTTTTTTGCTCGGCCTTAAAAAAACCCAATGTCATATATGTGGAAATAGTAAAACTCTCTCCAGCCAACCCCTGCGACAACTTGTTACTCGATGTTGTCAATTAAGCTTGCATCAGGCTTTTTTAAGCCCATCTATAAAGCAGAAGCACAAGTTCTCAAAAGTTCTCAAAAGTTCTATCTCTTTGTTTACCTTGGCTGAGAGTTCTAAGGCAAGAAGACCTTTTCATCTGACTCTCTCTCTCTCTTTCTTTGTCTCTGTATCTCTCTCTCTCTCTCTCTCATTCTCTCGCTCACATTCTCTCAATATCGCTCTCTTGGTTCCTTTATTTGATTATAATTAATTAAAGGCGATATAAGAAGTTTGGGGCAGAACTTTCCTTCTCTCTCTCTTTCTCTCTGTCTCTTTTAACCCCTCTATCTATCTCTATATCTTTCTCTCTCTCGCTCTCTCTATCTATCTCTATTTTTCTCTCTCTCGCTTCTTTGCATTCTAATCTCTATCACACTTGGTTTTTCAGTCCCTGTCTGCCGTTTACTCTCTGGCCCTCTATCTATCATTCTCTTTGCTTTTCTCTCTCATTTTCTTTCTCCGTGTATTTCTTTCTCTATCTCTCTCGTGGTCTCAGCTCTGTGACGCAGGTCAATGTTTCCTTTAATACATATTTTTCTCTCTATCTTGACGTCTCGCTTTGATAGTAACTCAATCAAAATAGTAACTCAATTTCTCTCTTTCTCTATCTCCCCCACTATTTTTTCTCTATTGCCATTCCTTCTCTCTCTCTCTCTCTCTCTCTCTCTCTTTCTCTCTCTCACATTCTTTATTTCCCTCTAATTCCCTCTCTTTATTTCTTGCCGTCTTTTAAGTCGGTTCCCCATTCCTTTCGATATTTCCCTTTCTCTTGCGCTCTTTTTCTCCTTATCTCTCTCTCTCAATATTCCCTCAATATCGCCCACACTCTTTTTTTGGCTGCTTACATCTTACTTGATTTTGCTCTCGCTTCTTCACTTTGTTTCTATCTGTTTTCCTTTTGTGTCTCTTTCTCTCTCTCTCTCTCTCCTTCTCTCTCTCTCTCTCTCTCTCTCTCTCTCTCTCTCTTTCACACTCTCACACTCTCTCACTCTCTCTTTCTTTGTCTCTGCTAATACCAGGCTTAACGTGAACGTGGTAAATGTGAACTTAGCAGGCATCTATCTTTGCCCCCTTCCCTGTCTGTATCTCAGAGCCGTGTTACCCCCTGACACGCACGCCTCCCATTTGGTTGGCTGATGGAAGACACCGCGATGAAAGATATCGTATCCTGACCACGCGCGCCATGCAAATGAATTACGTGACTGAATCGTTTAACTAACGGCAATTGCAAAGGACGAGCGTAAACCGGGCAAAATTGTATTTGATTTCACGTTGTTTTCACTCACAACAATAAAATGAACTAATTAATTAATGCGATAAAGACAGACAGACAGAGAGCGAGAGTGAGAGAGAGGAAACGAGAGATTGAGACAGGCTAGAGAGAAGGATGGGGGCATGGTCATAGGTCGACAATGCGATATCGTAAGCCAGCATGCGGCCTATGCGACAGCTAAAAGCGAAAGAGACTGAGCGAGAGAGAGAGAGAGGGAGCAAGAGAGAGAGAGAGAGAGATTGGCAGGGGAAAAGTGGGAGAGAAATCAATTAACATTATTCATTCGAATACAATTAATTTTCATAATTAAGCACGCCCGTTGCGCTCTTTGAAGTGAGCGCAACAATCACATCCGCACAAACATCCGCATCCGCATACACATCCGCACCGATGCTGCTCCAATTTGCAGTGGCCCGGCACAAAGGCAATTGCCGAGGCGAGTGCCAATCTCAGCGACAACAGCAGCGGCGGCATAAACAGGTGACACCAGAGACAATAAGCTGCAATAAAAAAACACACAAACTCACACAAACACACACACACACACATCCAGTGGAAGCACGTTGAAACAATCTAAGCGTGAGTACGCGACGCACAAATTCTCTGCATTCAGTGTTGCATAGTTTAAAAAAGTGATTGATCCTATATACTATCGAGAAGATCGATAACTATCGATAGTTTTTGCATTAAATTTAACAATTTAAGCTGTTCAAGTTTTTAACCTGTCGGATTTATTTTTTTAAAGTGTAAACAACCAGCAAATGAGTGAAATAAATGTGAAATGTTATGAAATGAAAAATGGAATTCAATTAAAGCAATATATGATATCAATCAACCAGTTGCAGCCCAAACATTTGCTCAGTTCATTCTGTTATACTTCAATTCCCCGAGCTGAAATATTAGATACTAGCAAAGCTTCAAAAATGTTTCCACATGTTTCTAGTACATCCAAAACTTGCAAGCTCTAGCCACACATTTTGGCATTCTAACTTTAAAGGGTATACAAATGCAATGCACACACACACACACATACTCACACGATAAGCAACATTTTGTTAAGGCCACTTTGCGACATTTTAATTTAAATGCTAATCAGTTGCCAATAGAGTAAAAAGAGACGCTGCAGCTTCTAACTAGCCGACTATGACCATGGCCTCTCAACACGAAGAGGACATTCTGGGCTGCCGGGCTACCAGGTTGGCTGCCAGGATGGCTGGCTGGTTGATGAGCGTGTGTGTTCAGGTTGCAAGTAATTTGATGCCGGGAGACGCAACAGCGCTGCAATTTGTATTTAAAATGTCCGAACATTTTGGATTAGACAGGCGCAACAGCCGCAAGGCCTATGGCTGCGCGCGGCCAGGACAACAGCAGCAGGAGCAGGAGCAGGAGCAGGTGCAGCAGGAGCAGGTACAGCAGAGCCGGTGCACAGCTCATCTGGTAGATGCTTGTTGGGACATCATTATCATTTGCATTTTTGGCTGACGACGACCAGGCAGTGGACTCTGGCAGGGCCCATTTATGCAACGTGCACAATAAGTATACCTGATAGCATCAGCAAAGTCCATTTTCGGTGTCAAAATGCACAAACAGCAGCAACAGCAGCAACAACAACTACAACACACACACACACACTATTAATCATGGATGTAATTTGCTGCCTACTCGAAACTAGCTGAAAATTGGCATTGCAAAAGCATGCCTATGGCAAGTTACTTGAATGACAAATAAACAAGAAAACTTGCCCACAACTTTCAGCACTTTTACACCTGCCAACAATTTGCACCAACAGCTCAGATAAAACAAACTTGTAATAAAGAAACGCACACACACAACTATCAACTTTTTTTTCACTACAAACGGTCGTTACTTTGGCGCCAAACGTAACGTACGATAACTAATAATCGATATGCCATACGTCAAAAAGCTGACTGCTGCAACAGGCCGCAGCAAAATCTCGTTACATTGGCGCCAAACGTAACGTACGATAACTGCCCGCGATAGCTAATAATCGATATGCCAGCACACTAAAAAGCTGACTGCTGCAGCACGCCGCAGCGCTGTCCACTCGATAAAACGCCAGCGATTAACTGTAAAATGCACAGCTGAAAGCCAGACGCACCGCACGTGGAGAAATATATTAACGAAAATAAAGTAAACGCAATTTGTTGAGAAATGCCCGAAATGGAGGTGGAAAATATACAAGTGGATAAGTTTGTGCCCGCCAAGAAGGCGCAAAAGCGCAGCGCCCATGCAAACACAGACGACGTCGAGATGCTGGTAGATGCGGCCACGGGCATCGAGGGAGCAGAGCGTGCCAGCAGCAGCGGCCAGGCGCCGCCACGGGCCAAACGGATAAGGAGCGAGCTGCGCAAGGTGTCGGTGCCGCCGCACCGATACTCCTCGTTGAAGGAGCACTGGATGAAGATCTTTACGCCGGTTGTGGAGCACATGAAGCTGCAGATACGCTTCAATATGAAGGCGCGTCAGGTGGAGCTGCGCATTGGGCCGGAGACGCCCGATATATCGAATCTGCAAAAGGGCGCCGACTTTGTCAAGGCCTTCCTGTGCGGCTTTGAGGTGGACGACGCTCTGGCGCTGCTCCGTCTCGAGGATCTGTTCATTGAGACCTTCGAAATCAAGGATGTGAAGACGCTGCGCGGCGATCATCAGTCCCGCGCGATCGGACGACTCGCCGGCAAGGGCGGCCGCACCAAGTTCACCATTGAGAACGTGACCAAGACTCGCATTGTGCTCGCCGACAGCAAGATCCACATTCTGGGCAGCTATCAGAATATTCAACTGGCACGTCGCGCCATCTGCAACCTGATCCTTGGCTCGCCGCCCAGCAAAGTCTATGGCAATCTGCGCGCTGTTGCGTCCCGCCTCTCGGAGCGCATGTAATTGGCTGTGATCTTGGTCTGCGTGGGGGCTGGGATGGGCCCAGACTACAATTAAGTTAAGATATCCTTTTCCTTTTTTTTCTCGTTTTATAATAAATATATATACACAAATGTGTATGGCGTGTGCTTTTTTTGAGATTCCTTGCGATCCAATTGTTCCGCTCAGTCCGCGAACCGGTTCGCAACGGGTTCAACACCTGAGCTGGTCTCCTCCAGCTTTGAAACTGAATATTACATTGCTTTGTCTAAGCGAACGTATATCGAAGGTTTATATATACGAACCGGTTCAAATGTGGTTCAGGAGCGAATACTTAGTCAAGGTTTAAATTGGAAGATTTGACGAAATTTGTTTTTCCCATACAAGATTTAGATGTCTATATGCACCTGCTTGTTCTGCACATGGCATTTATCAAGTCTCTGAACCGGTACGAAAGTTGGTTCAGCGAAGAAGTTCGAGAAATTGCCTAACAAATATGTTCAACACATTCAAAATCATAAAAATATGTTCTACTTGAACTGAACATATTTTTTCACGGTCTTAAAAGTATTTCAGAGACGCAAGGGCACAAAACTTATTCGAATGTGGCTAAGCCTAATAATGAATGCATGAAAACTCATCAAACTTACCCGCGCATTCATGAGAATCACATAGAGAGGCGTTATTTACAATTTAGTTAGTAGTTGTGCAGCGAATTGATGTACAGCTATAAAATAGATGAAAAACTTAGTGAGTTTAGTAAAAGAGAGCACATAAATCAGTTAGACGTTGCCCGCACCAAATTGATAGCTTTAAACTTATTCGCGGTTAGTTGGTTAGAATAGAATATCGACAGGTTAATTGAATTTGCTGAATTTGGGAACTGGACAAAACACACTGTTATTAGTATTCAGACAGAGAACATGGAGTTACAATGGGCTCCCAAAAGGAGCCGCGCATGTGTTAGCAGTTTAACAAATCGTTATAAATAAATAAAACATATATATATATTACATTACGACAATTACAATATACACACGGAATCTAGACATAAAAGGGGGAATAACTGCTGGCTGGGGCTACTATTTCAGTAAGTTAATATACCTGTCCTACAGCTTGGTTAGGATCAGGAGCAGCAGCATTAGGAAGGTGACTGCCGCCAGCACGAGAATGATGCACATTTTGCGATTCTTGCGCTGATACATTTCTGCGCGCTGCAGCTGGCGCAGGCCCTCGGAGACGCGTGTCTGCGTCTGCTCGACATTGTAATCGATGCGATCCAGTACGGTGCCCTGTTCCTGCACCATATGGCCCAGATCTTTGAAGATATCGTTGAGATCGTATATGGACTTGACGATTTTGGTTACCTCGCGCTCGCGATGCTCAGCGAGACGTGAGTTCTCCTCCTCGAACAGCAGCAGCTGTTGTTGTGTCATTCGATTTGCTACCGGCTTCTTGAAATGATCATCGATCTCCTGCTCATCATCCTCAAAGAGATACGTATTCGCATTGCTCTTGCCCAGGCTGCCAGCACCAGCTGTGCCCAAACCATCCAGAGGCTGCAGAAAATTATCAAAGGTGTCCACAAAATTGGCAGGCTCGTCGTTGGGATCGTTGCCGTTGCCAAAGTTGCCCAGTTCGACATTGGTAAACTCGTTGTTGTCAAAGTACTTTTGGGAGCGCTCCTCGCGTGAGTTTAGCTGCAGCAGGTACGCATTTTGGCTGCTCCGAAACTTGACAGTCAGATCCTGCAGCTGGAGCAGGGCACAGTGCACCGCATTGGCTGTCAGTCGCTGTTCAACTTTGCTGCCCACGCCCAGGCTCGAGCGTACGCACTGTATATGGCGATGGGTGCTAGCGATCAGCTTGGCCACAATCTGGCTCAGCACCTCAATTTCGCACTCATCGTCTCTTTGGTCATCGAAGGTGGGTCGCAGCAGGTGGCGCGCATGCAGCGAGCCCAGCTCATCCAGTTTGGGCTTTATTCTATGAAAAGGCAGAGCGGCATTATTATATATATTATATGCTCTATGCGCTACATGGCTTTTGTGGACTAGCACTCACTTGGACATGGTGTATTGCGCCTCCTCGAATTTATCCAGCCAAACGGGTGGCGTGCCGTAATCATCCTGCATCTCGAGGCCCTCCTCGGCCTCGCGTACTGTGTGCTTGAGCAAACGCTCCGAATCGCTGCCACGCTGTTAAGTTCAATAACGAATCATTTAATTGGCATTTCGAGTCATATTGTCCATATGGTTGAGACGGCGGGGTCTGTCTTACCCGATCGTCATAATGATTACGATTCTTGCTGGCATTGTTGCGCATGATAACAAACACCTCCGTTAGGTTGCGCGAAGTCATTTTGGTGTTGCGAACAGCCGTGTTTTTGTGTATTGTATAAATTTTAACTAATTTGCGTATATTTTACATTTTAATTATTTGCAATTGGCTTCATACCAATGGCATGATGAAATAATCGAACATTCTATATGACTATCGATTAATATGCGCAACATATGAGCAAAAATCAGCTGTGCGCAAAAGGGAGCACGTTAACGCACAGTTGAGCTATGTAAACGTGCAAACAGCATGTACTAAGCGGACATCTTGTATGACTATCGATTAAAATGCGCAGCGTATGCAATAAATCAACTGTGCGCAAAAGGGAGCACGTTAACGCATAATTGAGCTACGCAAACGTACGCATCAGCGTTAACGCAAAATAGAGCAACGTAAAAACATAGAATAGCGCAAAAATTCCCATTTAGCGTAAACGTAAATTCAGTAAGATTAACGGTAAAGCTTAACGTATTTTCGTTTGTTATTTCAAATATATTGTAATAAATTTAAGAATTTAATAAACTTTAGGAATTTAACAAACAGCAAAAAAAAACCAAAGCAAATATTATTTAAGATTCTTTACCATTTGCAATTTTAGATGTCAGCAATAGATTTGACAGCCTATGAAAGGGCAGCTCGAAGAACAGAGTCAACGGAACAGAGAATACTAAAACTATAACCAAATGTGCCACGCATAGGTAGATCTGTAATAAAAACAACGTTAACAAGTGGTAAATAGGCAATGTCAATCGCCAAACTTGCCAAAAGGCCAACATCCGCTGGCATTGCATCGCTGAGAGAGTAGTACAAGTTAAGTATGATGAGGGGGTTCAGTAAATATAATGCATAGCTCAGGCGATTGAGACGCTGAAACCAATCCAACTCCAGAAAATGTACCAGCCAGCGCGTAACTCTCGTGCTCCCATCGATGCGAAAGCTGCACCAAATGAGATGCGCCGTCGCCGTGGATATGCCTCCACGCAGCAGCACGTAGCCGCAGCCCACCAGAGCCGGACTGGCCAGCTGCAGGACCTGCAACCGACTGGCTAGCCATACGACAACGCCAGCCAGGGCACACTTGGCCAGCTTGTTGGGGAACAGGGCAACAAAAGGTTCGACCAGGCCGCGCGCATGCGCATAGCCATAAATACCGCCGATGAGGTAAGCGAGCATGCGCACCAGAGGATTCGTGTACAGCCAATCGCCGATGCCGTACAGGGCCTCGAATGTGGTGGGCACATCGAGCACGATCTGCAACAGCACCGTGTACAGCACATTGGCCAAAAGCAGCATCAGCACCAGACGCCGCACTAGCTGTGGATATCTGTAACGATTACAACCTGATTAATCGAGTCAAACGAATAGTCCAACAACATTTTCGGCTCGAGCTGTTCGATTGGAGAACGTAGCTCGAGCTCGCTTCAAACATGATTTGTTCGATCGAACATGTTGCAAGCGGTTCGAGCTGCGTTTGCTTGAATGTGTTCGCTTAGTCGATGCTCAATGAATCAGCGCAAAACGCACCTCGTGTGCATATAGAGCAGCAGCATGGCCATAATGTGGAACTGCATATCACAGCCCAGGGACCAGGTCCAATTGCAGCACATCTCCTTGTTGGGATACAGATTCTGGACAAAGAGCAAATTGCGCCACCAATGCCGCTCGCAGAGCTCATCCAACGGCTCGATCAGATGGAAAACCGACATCTCCCGATGATAGCCAAAGCTCAGCACGGACAGCAGCATGACGAGCAGCTGCAGCGGTGCCAGACGCAGATACCGTTGCGCCAGCTGCCGCCCAAAGCGCCGCACATTGCCGCCCAGCGTGTCCGACGCAATGGAGCGCTGCAGTGCATCGTTCCGCAGGAAGTTGGAGACGGTCAGAAAGCCGCTGGCAAAGCGAAGCGAAACGGATTAAAGCCGAGCTGGAATGGTTAGACAGCCTCTAGGCATACCTGACGACAAAGAACACCTCCAATGCGGCCGTCAGGTAAGCGAGCTCGGTCAGCTTGGCGGCCAGCTGCGCCGAATGATTCACCGAAAAGAACTGATACCAGACCACATGAACGCCGAGCAGAACGCCGGCGCTGCAGACGCGCAGTCCATTGATGACGGCGATCTCGGTCGTGTGGCCCGCCGCGGGCAGCTGCCACAGACGCCGCCAGTTGTTGGCCACATCGAAGCAGGCAACGAACCGGCTGGTGCCGGCCCAGCGGCTGCGGCCGAGCAGCAGCAGCAGCAGACTGGCCGCCAGCAGCAGCAGCAGCCAGCGAAACGCCGGGCGGGCAAAGTAGTTGCCACTCGCCTCCGGCAGCTTTGTGTACACCAGCTCGGTGCGCAGCTCCAGGCGTTCCAAGTGCCGCAGCGACTGGCGTAGCAGCTGCTCCAGCTGCGGCGGATCACAGCTGCGCGGCACGCAGAGGCCGATGTGCAGCAGCGGCGGCTCCTTGACGGCCAGGGCCAGCTGCCAGGGCGAATTGGCACGCAGATAGACCGCACGATAGTCGTGGGCGAAGGGCGCCCCCTGGCGCAGCAGCTGCTCCTGGCGCTGGGTAAACTCCAGCAGCAGCTGCTCGTTGAGGGCGCGACAGGTCCAGCGATTGCCCAGCCAAAAGCTGTTGCCCAGCATGAAATTGTGGTAGCCGCTGCCGGAGGCATCGAAAGCTGGAAGGGATTACGTTTATGAATTGGGTGTCAAAGAATTTGTCTTAGGTAATTCCTATTCCAAGTCAGGAAATGTAATTCTAAATGCAAGCTCCCTTTTGGACTACACGGAGCAGACGGACAGTTAGACGGATAGATAAAAGGACACATAGACGGACAGATAGACGAATAGATAGACGGATAGATAGACGGACAGATAGACGGATATATAGACGGATAGATAGACGGAATGATGGACGGATAGATAGGCGGATAGATAGACGGAATGATGGACGGATAGATAGGCGGAAAGATAGACGGACAGATAGGCGGACAGATAGGCGGACAGTAAAACGGACGTATAGACGGATAGATAGACGGATAGATAGACGGAATGATGGACGGATAGATAGGCGGACAGATAGACGGACAGTAAGACGGATAGATAGACGGAATGATGGATGGATAGATAGGCGGACAGATAGACGGACAGATAGGCGGACAGATAAACGAACAGATAGACATCCGTGCAGCGGGTCGTCCTACCTTTTAGCGCCCAGCTGTGCCCCTGCTGCCAGGCGTTATGAAGCGCTCGCAGCTGCTCCACACAGGTTGTGGTCTCTAGCGTGGCATTGCCCGCCGCCAGCTGGGTCAAGTCCAGCAGCAGCGAGCCCGACTCCAGGCCGTCGACCAGCTCAGCCTGCGCTGCGAGCAGCGCCAAGAGGATTAGCACCAACATGATCCCGATATTTGTGAGCCGAGCACAACCGATCGCAGCGAATGCCATTCAAAGACTGTGCGTCGCGCGACAGCGGCTGCTGGAAATCTCTTCGAACTTTGACCCTTGCACTTCAGACGGGCATTCGCAGCGCCCATTTATGCTATGCGACCCCATCAAAACTGTGAACTCGACTAAAAGCAATGACATTCGCTTTACAATTCAATTAGGTTATGAAAAAAAGCGCCTAATTTCGACACGTGGAAGATGAAACACCCTTTCAATGTGCACTACTTATAATTCCCAACTGGTGCTGGCAGCATTGAATCGAACTGGACTTGTTTGGAAACTGAAATCGATTTTAAGATTTTTTACACTCTATTTTTTTTTTTTTGTAATTATTTATTTTGGCACTTTATTTTTTGTTGTCTTTTTATTATTACTTTTTAATATTATTATAGTTGTAATTGGAATTGGTTTATTAAGCAAATTATTATTAAGTATATTGTAATTAATTAGGTATTTCATTTTTGTTTGCTGCCTTATTTTGTTGCCCATTATGAATTAATTAAGTACGTTAAGTAGTAAGTAGGGTAAATTAATTAATGCATTAATTAGTTAGTGGCGCGTCACAAAAATTTAACGTTAACTATACAACAAAAACGTTACAAATAAATTGGTTAAAATTAGTAAAAAAAAAATTTTTTTAAAATACTAAAAAAAAAAATTGTATTTTAAATATATGCATATATATATATATATATATTTTGATATAAATCAGGGAATATGTTGGCCAGCAGCAGGGAGGGCGTGCAGAGGGGGCTTGAGGGGGGCCTTTCATATTTATTTGCCGCTTGTCAAATGAAACTGAAAGCCGCATTCGGGCGCAGTGTTGCCAACTGCCGCAAAGAACACCAGAAACCAGTGTTGTAAAAATAACTAAAAAATAAACAGGCTGGCAAGTAATTGTCATTGAGCTTAGAGCTGGGCGCGGGTCGTGCTTTTTTTCCCTTTTTTTTCTGCGGACACGAGCCTTCAAATTCGGTCGCGAGAAAAAGCTGTTTTATAGCTAAATCTAGCCTTTTTTTTCGCTTTAAGGCTGCAACCTAATTTTGCTGGTAAATTGGGTACTTTAATCGATTTGTCATTGCTTGACTTTTTTTTAAAACAGTTTTAAGATTTAGTCTTAATCCCAGCTCGAACTATCGTTACACAAAACACTATGTGTTGAGATGCCCAAAAAAAAAAAAAAGAAGCTAAATCAGCTAAAAATATGCAAGCTGTTGACGGCTGAGAATCTGAGAGAGAGGCTGAGTTTAGCCAGAAAGTAGCTAAAATGGCAAACACTGTTCAGGAGCAAAGAGAGCGAGTGAGAATGGGAGGGAGAGAGAGAGAGCAGGAGAGAGGGAGAGGAAGCTAGCTGCTGGGCATGGGAAAGGCAGAGACAAAGGCATCATTTGCGCTGGCGAAGCTCAATGATTGTGGCGCCGGAGCCGCGACGCAGCTGCTGCTGCTGCTGCTGCTGCTGGACATGATGATGTTGATGATGCTGATGATGTTGCTGCTGGACATGATGATGCTGATGCGAATGCTGATGATGATGCAGCTGGTCATCGGCATAGAGTAGCCGCTTGCTATCATCGCTGCTGCGCCGCACAATGCTCGCCGTATCCTTGTTGAGCTCGACGGGCGGCGGCGAACGTGAGTCCAGCGAATATTTTGGCTGCAACGGATGCTTCTTGTGGCGCTGGCCGTAATCCTCGTCGCCGTGCAGGACACGATACAGATCGGGCGCCTGCTGATGTAGATTGCGCAAATAGAGCTGACGCTTGCTGCCGCTGTCCTCCGCATAGAGATCATCCTCCGTGCTGCCCGATATTTTGGTCAGATCCTTCTGACTGCGGCTGATCAGATTGACAATCGACGGACTCTTCAGGCCGCTCTTCAGCGAATTGTTATTGTCCCTGGCGCCGCTGCACAGATGCGGATTCGATTTGTATGCCTGCGATGGCGACGGCGATGGCGACTGCTGCTCGTGGCGTCCGCTGTAGTTGTTTCTGGTCAGCTTCTCGATGTAGATGGGACTAGGATCGTTGCCGCCGTTCATGCCGTGCACATTGAAGCTCTTGCTGCGATTGAGTACCTTGGCATAGGTGCGCGCCGGCTTGGCCGGACCCTGCGGTTCAGCTGCCAACGGTGCCAGCTGCGTCTGCTGGCTAATCTGGCGTGTCATATACTGCGCCGGCCGATTGCCCATCTTGTCCAGCGTTTGGGGATAACGTTGCGCGCGATATGGCGCCGGTTCGTGCAGTTTACGCGGCAGCGTCTGCGCATTCCGATAGTCCGGCTGCACGTGCAGATTGGGCGTCGAGCCGCTAAAGCGCTGGCCATGCTTCTGATAGCGACCCAGCGTCGTTGTGGTCGTCATCGATGCCGGCAGCGCCCGCGTCTCATAGTAGTCGTCATGCTCGTCCAGCGGCTCGCGCGTCTCGTAGCGCTGGCGTGACGCCGGCACGCGATTCCGCTCGTAGATGTTCTCCTTGCCGTACAGCGTGCTGGAGTAGGGATCCTCGCCCAGATAGTAGCGCTGGCGCGGACTCATCGCTGGCTCCGCGGAATCCGCCGCTGTCGCCGACGCCGGCTGCTTACCCGTCAGGCTGGACGGCGCCTCCGGCTGGCGCTGCCGACGCTGGCCATCGCTAGCGGAGCCCTCCGACTCCTCCGATCCGTTGCCGCCAATATGCCCGTCGATTACATTGTACTGCTGATAGGTGGCCACGCCTCCGACGCCCTTGGCCGCCAGCGCCGGCTGCTGCTGGCGATTGGGCGACTGCTCGCGGGATTTGCCGTTGGCGGCGCTTTTCATGCGAAACTTGCGCTCGGCGCTGGCCGAACGGATCTTGCTGACCAGCTTGCGCAGCGAGTTGCCAATCACCTGGCCCATTTTGCTTGGCTTGCTGGCGCTCAGCGTCGACAGATTCGAGTTGGAGTTGCCCGAGCTGGCGGCGGCGGCGGCGCCGGTGGCGGGCGCGAATCGTGTGCGCTGCTGCTGCTTCCGGCTGAGCGTCAAGCCGGAGCTGGCCGGCGGCTCCGGATGGCGTGTCGCACGCGTCAGCATATAGTCCACCTGTGGCGAGGAGGAGCGGCTGCGCGGCGGCGGCGAGTAGTCCGGCGGCGGCTCCAGCTGCGTGTGGCCAGCCAACTGGGCGGGCTGCACATGCACATGAACATGGGCGTGGCTGTGCTCGCCCAGCTTCTTCTCGATGGCACGTCGTCGCTGCGGCACCGTCGGCCGCCCCAGATTGCTGCTGCTGCTGCTCGTCGCGAACTCCGGCGGCGGCAATTGCGCCGGCTGCGGCTGCGGCTGCGACACCTGCAGCTGCGGCTCATAGCTTCTGCCACGCGCATTGGCATGAGGATGTGCGGCAAGGCCATTGATCGGATTGCTGCTACTGCGTCCATGGCCATGCGCATGACCGTAGGCGACACGCTTGTGCGACGGCTCCTCCGGTCGCTGGGCCGGCACAGTAGCTGCCGCTGCCGCCAGCTGATGTTGACGGATGACGGCGGGCGGCGCCGGGCCCGGTATGGCATCCAGATCATCGAGTGCATCGCGTGAGCCGCGCGCCGATCTGGCCAGAAACTGTGAGGACAAGCTCTGACGTTTCTGCTGCAAGATATCCTCCCGGCTGACGTAGCTGTCGCTGGATGCATTCAGCTGCTGTTGCTGCTGCTGCTGCTGGTGCTTCTTCTTCAGCCCATTGCGGCGTATCGTCTCCTGTAGATCCTCGCGAAAGGCCTGCGTGGAGAAATGATGCAGCAGCGGCGCCTCCTGTCGCTCCGCCCAGTTCGAGATGCCCTGATAGTACTTGGGCCGGCCAGCGTGTGCATCCTTTACATATTTCCGATCGAGCGTTGTGGCGGCCAGACGTTCTCGCTCCCGTTCCCGCTCCCGCTCCCGTTCCCGCTCTGCGCTGCGCGGCAGCGTCTGCGTATTGGCAGCTGCGACAGCGGGCAACGCGGCCGCGATCGACGGCAGCTGCTGCTGCTGCTGCTGCTGCTGCTGCTGCTGGGATTTGATGGTCACGTTGAAGTAGCTCTTCTTGGTGGGCTCGACGTCCAGTTCGTTGGGCTCGTCGTCGCGCGAATCGTTGGAGGCGGTCGATTCGCTGCCGAAATGCGATTCGAGCCATTTCATGGTCTCGCCCTTGCGCGTCTCCTCCTCGCGATCAAAGTCGAGCGGCCGCTTGGTCAGCGCGTCCTTGCGATCCGCCAGCAGCGCAACCTCTGCAGGAATAACAATTAGTAAAGGTATTTCTTATTGTCGGCGCTTGACTCACCTTTTTGCTGCAGCTGCTGCTGTTGCTGCTGCTGCTGCTGCTGCTGGGAGCGACGCAGCTTGCGCATGCGATCCGATAGGCTGTCCCAGTCGCCGGGTCGCTCCAGGGAGCCGTCCTTTTCCATTTGGGTCTGCTCGGCTGCGTAGCGCATCTCGGTGGCCACCAGTTTGCCGTCGGCTAGCAGATCGACATGCTGTTCGTCCCGCTGCTTGAAAAACCGTTGACTTGCCGCCGTTATGGTCGTCAACTGTTCGACGGGCCGCTCCAGCAGCTCATTGCCGGACGTCGGCGACCGGTTTGGCTGATCCGGCTCGTCGCCGTCAAGTATTATCTCGTGCTCGGTGGTGCGTTTACTTTCGGTTACCAGTGTGCCGTCCTCCTGGGCGAGGCAACGCTTTTGCGTATCCTCCGAATCGATGGTCTTACGCGATCGGCTCGTATTCGCCACCAGCTGCGGCCCAAGCGCCACCAACTGCTGCTGACTCTCTGGCGAGCAAAGCACCGCCTCAAGATCCTCAACACCCTCACGAACGGCCTTTACGTAGGTCTGAAAGAACGGAGTAGCGTATCGATAAAGATCACATGCACAAACTATTGTTTTATCAGGATCGGGTAAGGCATCAGCTGAAGATCAATTGAAAATCAGATGAAGATCAAAGATGGAGATGAGATGAGGATCAGACGAAGATCAAGATGAACAAAATATCACATCTATTAGATGAATATGAGACTCAATATGGATTTCGAGAAATCTGATCCGTCTCAGATGAGAAAGCAAAAACCAGATGGAGATCAAAAATAATCAGATAAGGATCAGACGAAGATCAAGACGAACAAAATATCATATTTATTAGACGAAGATCACATTCAATTTAGTTTTTGAATTTTTACAAATTATTCGAAGATCAGATCAGATCAGATGAAAATCCGATGAAGATGAAATGAAAATCAGATGAAGATGAGATGAAGATCAAATGAAGATCCGACAAAGATCGAGACTTAATAAATAGCACATCAACTAGATGAAGATCAGATGAAGATCAGATTAAATTAACATTTCGAGTATTTACAAGGTCGAGTTTTTAAGATCAAGTCACATTCATTAGATAAAGATCAGATAAAAGCCAGGCAAAAGACATTCAGTACAAAAATATATAAATATCGGATATTATATGAAGATCACAAAAACGATCATTGAACAACTGTTTAAGATCGGGCGTAAATCAAGTTTTTTAAGCATTAACTAAATATCACACTCGATAAATTAAATATCAGATCTATCAGATGAAGATCAGACAAAGATCAAGTCGCATTCATTCGTTGAAGTTCATATAAAAGCAAGTTTAGTTTTAAATAATTTAAAGATCCAATTTGAACATCATGAATAAATAAATATAATAATCAGATAAGGATCAGATTAAGTTTAAGATTTAATAAATATCACAGAAAATAGAGAAAAAGATAAAGTTTTAGATAAAATTAACTTAAGACTTCCCAACAGATCCTTTAAAGCACAAGAAAAGATCACATCAAGATCAAATGGTCTGCATTGGTTAAAAACGAAATATAATTTGAATAAGGTTCAAATGAGAGAAAGAAAAATGAAACACATTCACATGAAAACAAGTTTGACAGAAGTACAAAATTGTATGAAGATCACGTTTGGGTAAAGATCAAAATGCGATCAATACTGTTTAAAATTAGCTGACTTTAAAATGGAGATCCATTTAGGAACACATCAAATTAAATGCCAGCTAAAGATCACTTGAGAAACAGCTGAAGCCTCAGACAACGAACTTCGGCAGATCAGATGAACATCTTATGATTGAGCTGCTTGTTAGAAATTTGATTAAAATCAGCTGAAATTCAAGATCAAAGCAGCATAGTTTTTTATGTCTAGATGCCATTTGTAGAGCTCTTCAGTTGGGCATCTGCATGGAAACGCATATCCAGAGTTCAGTTCGAGCAACAATTAAGGTTAATATATGACCTAAAAGCTGAATTGACGACTTTCTCACAGTTTCGACAAAATTGTGGGTCAACGTTTGCGCTGATTGTTTAGGAAGCTGAGAAAAGATCTTATAAGTTTTACATATCTACAGAAACACAGACATCTGTGATCCTATAAAGTATATATATATATATATATATATATATATATATATATATATATATACTTATATATATACTATATATATATATATATATATATATATATATATATATACTTATATATATACTATATATATATATATATATATATATATATATATATATACTTATATATATACTATATATATATATATATATATATATATATATATATATTCTGGATCGGCATCAGCAGCTGACTTGATACACATTTTTTCTGAGCACAGTGGAATCAGATATTGCTACCTTCTCGAATTTGAAGTAGCACATTTGTTTCGAATTTGCTTGGCAAAGAATTCAGTTGTTGTCTGGAGTAGTCAATTATCTGGTCAACTCAGCTGGTTTCATCATATTCAAAACTTATACAAGTTTATTAACAAAGAGAATTAACTGTGAAACGAACAATTGAAGCAAACATTTCTAACATTAGATTGTTCTTTTCATGCACAGTACACGCTGAATGCTGATCGGGTTGCATCATCGACATGGTCGATGCGTCTGCGAATGCTTCTTGCTTTAAGTCGATGCAATTGCCACACACACACACACACACACATGTGTGTGTGCTTAGAGAGCGAGCGCCCAGTTGGCATGGTATTCAGAGCAAGACAGTAACCACAATGCACCACATTTCGTTTTGCAAGTGGAGTCGAAAAAAATAAAGGAAAACGAGTAAGAAGGGCTATCTTCGGCACACCGAAGATTTAATACCCTTGCAGAACCAACCTTTTCATAATACTCATAATGCTTTGCACGAAGCACAGGAAAAAGTTAGTTAATGCCGAGTGTGATTAAGATATCTTGAAAAACAAAAAAGTTACTTTTCGACCGATCGTTCCTATGGCAGCTATATGATATAGTGGTCCGATGCAAATAGGGCTTTACATATATGTAAGGAACATGGTGAAACTAATAAATGCCAAGTTTGGTCAAGATATCTTGAAAAACAAAAAAGTATTCCATACAAGAACCTTCTTTTGGAGAGATCATTCCTATGGCAGCTATATGATATAGTGGTTTGATTCAGTTAGTTCCGACATATGTACGGCATGTATCAAAAAGAGGGACTTGTGCAAAGTTTCATAAAGATAGCTTGAAAACGGAGAGGAGAGACGGACTCGGCTGTTGATACTGATCAAGAATATACATATACTTGATGGGGTCGGAGATGACTTCTGCTATGCTGTACACATTTCACGAAAAAGTTATAATACCCTTTGCAAGGGTATATTGAGTGCATGGAAATGGAAAATAACGGTAAGAATGCGACAACTAGCTGAGGAAGAAGCAGCAGCAGCAGCAGCAGCAGCGACAGCGACAGCGACAGCGAATGCCTCAAGGTCAGTTTTGATGGTTGCCTTCAGCGCCTTCGGGTGAAGTTGTGGATGACAGGCAAAATGCACGCATCGCTGGAGCTCGGTGGAGCTGAGTCCGCTGAGCATCAACTGCACCAGTTGACCACAAAGGCAGATTCAGTTAAACATAACTCGTTGTCGTTGTTGTCGGCGACCTTGTTTAACGGTAACGCGCGTAGAAAGTGTTTTGTTTTTTTCTTTTTTGTTTAGCTTGAAGCTGAAAAACTTGAATGTCAGCAACAGCAACCGCAACCACAACGACAACAATAACATGAAACTCGCCCCCAGCTGCCCGTTGCGCCAAGCGCCGCTGTGAATTTGACTGCTCATTGAACGATCGATGGACACGAATTCATTAAAGCACATAATAACCACAAAACACACAAAAGTAAAAGCATCCAAATACCCTGCAAACGGCCACAACCGAAACAGAAAGTGTTTGGCAGCAACAAAAAAAAAGATGCCCAAGACTCGTAAGACTTGCCAAGTTTTATGGCTCTAGCTCTAGCTGAGTCGGCGAATTACTTGAGCCCATAAATGGGCAAGTCTAGCAGGAAGCGACAAAGTTAGGGTATCTACGGCACGCCGAACATTTGATACCCTCTCTTCAGACATTTGCCTCTTGCAGATATGTGAAAGGAGTAAAGCTTGCAAATGCTGAGTTTGCTTAAAATATATATAATACATATGATTCGATTTCGACACATATATGTGGGTTATCTTGATAGAAACTTGTTCATAGAAGAACCTACTTTTAGGCCGATCGTGTCTATGAAAACTATATGATATAGCGCTCCGATCAGGTCAGTAACAACAGATAGACTGCCTGCAACTGAAAGACGAACCAAAGTTTCAAGACGCGAGCTTTCAGACTGAGAGACTGAGAGAAGGAAGCATCTCCGAGCCCATAAAGTATATATATTCTTGATCAGCATCAATAGCCGAGTCGATCTAGCCATGTCCGTCTGTCTGTCCTTCCGTCCGTCCGTCTGTCTGTCTGTCCTTCCGTCTCTCCGTCTGACCGTATGTATGAACGCAAGGATCTCAGAACCTATAAGAGCTAGGGACTTGAAATTTTAGATGTAGGTGCTCCTAGTGCCGATAATCGATAACTTGCCCCGTTTCCAATTAATCGATAAAAATATATATCGATATCCTGTTTTTTGGACAATTTTGGTAAATAATAAGAGCTAGAGTCACCAAACTTGACATATAGCTTCTAGAAAAGTATATATATATGCATTTGATGTTGGAAGAAGAGGGTTCAGGGTATCCCCCAGTCGGAAGCTCCCGACTAGAACCTCTTACTTGTTTTTTTTTTTTGAGATATCACAAGTCAGCTCAGCAATCACGAGCTTTATAACTTTGCTAAATATGCGTGCAAAATGTAATTATCAAACCGTAAAAACGCCCGTATATGATATATAACCCACCCGCATTTGAAAGAGTCCAACATATAAAACTCATTTCAACTAAATATGCCAATGAGAGTTCACATTCAAAGCTTTTGGGCAGGTCTAGCCCATGGAATTCCTGAGTTCGTTCAGGTTCAGCTTTTGAGGTTTATATTCTTTAAAATTGCATTCCTTTTGTGGCTTAAGATATTTGAGAATTTTCAACAAACAGAATTTCGTAGTTCCAGCTCCTAGAGAACTTAATATATTAAGGCATGAGCAGAACCCAATCATATATCAAATTGCAGGGTATACAAAAGAAAACAAAAGAAAAGAAATAAAAAGCGATCTTAAGCTTATATAGAGATAGGTTTTGCTATTGATGGATTGGTGGGCAGGCGGAGCAGAGGCGGCATTTGTGTTACGGAGGTTGACTAAAATATTTTTTTTTTTTTTGCATTTGTTTTGTTTTTTTTTTTTTTGTTGTCTTTTACGTGGCGCCAATGAAGATCATGATAAATGTTTATGGCTAAGATGAAGTCGTGATGACGCGGCCGCTGACGCAGACGAGGATGACGCAGGGGAGGGGGGACGGGGGCGGGGGTACATTGCCAAGAGCTTTGTCATTGGCCAAAAATGTGAAAAAC